TACTGCCTCGGAAACCCAAGGCGGGGTCGCTATGAGTCGGGTTTGACTCGACGGCACATAACAACAACAACAACATATCTGTAAGGCACTCTGGTGGCATAGTGCCTAAGACATTTGACTGCTAACCAGACGGTTGGTGGTTCAAACCCATCAGCCACTCTGTCGAAGGAAGATTGGGCCATCTACTTCTGTAAAGATTTACCAACTTAGAAACCCAAAGGGGGTTGCTATGAGTCAGAATCGACTTGATGGCAGTGAGGTTTTTTTGTTTATTTGTTTATATATTTTATATATTATATGGATTACATATATAATATATATTACACACACACATATATAATATATATCTCAAACCTACAAAGTACTCAAATGACTAAAAGTCATCAAAGAAAGGATAGATTCAAGGCTCTTCATAGCTTTGGGCAATGAAGTTGGGTTTCCTTGTCCTTCCTTGCTGATGATACTGGGGACCAAGTAAAGTGACAGGCTACGGAGGAGAGCATGAGACATCATTTGTCAGTGACAGCTGCTTGGACAGTTGGAGAGAGCCCTGTGCTACCTCTTTGTAATTCTCTCACTGGCTGTTTCTTGTTGACCTTTTTTGTATCCTATGACAGACAAATTCTAAGAAATATTATCACCAAGCTAGAGCATGAGTCACTTTTGACTCACTCAGTCACAGTACTGTGCTCTAGGATCAGTGATCTGTTAGTTAATCCTGTTGCCTGTCTCCACAGCTCTCAAACACACCTGTTCACTGCATACACACACACACACACACAAACCCAGGCCGCCTTTCAGTCCAGAATCTCCATTTCCTTATACTGTCCTCTTTTGACCAGATTGTAGGCTTGCTGACAAATATGCACAGTGCCAGCAATCTGAGAATTTCAGTGAGAAATAAGGGTGTGAGTAGCCGCCATCCAGGAAACCCTACTGTCCAGGCATCTGATAGGACTGAATTGGAAACCATAATTTAGCAATACTCTCATTCTGCATACTGAATCCACTCATGGTCAGTGTGCAGTGTTTCCACCTGAGTTTCCCTGAGCTATTTCCTGTTCAATTTGGGCACATAGCCACTTTGGTGTCATTAACACACTAAAATGAGTTGGAGGTATGACTTAAAATATTAAAATTCTGGGCCCCAACTAGTATCCACATATTCCATTCTATGTTGTTGTTGTTAGCTGCCACCAAGTCGATTCATTACATTCTATAAAAACAGAAAAAAGAGAAATATCAAATCAAAATCTCCAATTTCAGATCATCAGGTTGTTAGGACACAGTTTGAGGCTACAGGGGTAAGAAACCGTCTAATCACTATTTTGAGTAGACTTTACTAGGAAATGACTTTGATCTTTAGCATTTGAAAGATACTCTGTCCATTTTAACCAAGCTCTAAAACATTACTAAGTAAACAATTGCAATGCACTGGGATAAATGCCACCTCCAAGGGAAGAACTAGCAAAGCGTTGTGAGTGTAGAGTGAAGGACGTGACTAACATACCCAGGGGGACCTTCTGAGCTGGTTTTGATGGATGGGCAGGAATTACTCAGTGCCAAAGAGGGAGGCAAAAATGAGCAGTAAAGAGTTTAAGTCAATTGAAGCATTACTTTAACTTTACTCAAAACCACAGCTAAAGTGAAATACGAAAATTTTGTAGAAGCATTCTGTGACAGTTATTATATACCTAGACAATGGAAAGTTTAGCTCACCGTCATTGGCCATTAGTCAATCTATAAAGCTACTTTACTTGAACTTTTTCATTAGAATGGAGCCAGTAGTCAATC